GTATACTTGCGTACGTGCGTGCGTTCGTGCATGTATACTTGCGTACGTGTGCGCGTGCGTTGAGGGGTCATGTCGGTATTTGGTAAAACGTTTTTACATTGCTGTTGCTTTCAGACGATGGGCGGAGATTTCTCAGGAAAACAACAAGACTGTGCGAAGGGCATTTACGCTTTAGCAGGTAAATGGAAAAATATACTAGTATATAACGATAATTATAATAATAATAGTCATGTGTCATTAAATAGTCATAATAATGTACTCAACGTAGCTGTTGAAGCTTGTATAAGTTGCTACTCATGTGTACTTGCTTGTCATTTTCATTTGTTTGGTAGAAAATGTGTTTAGTCAGAATTATTCATGTGTTAAATAATGTGTGGTTTATATTCAACAATGAGTAGCCCTTGTAAACCAAAAATGTGGCCAAAGTGCACATGTGATGATATCAGGAGTGAATAATAGAGATCTCTATTAGATAGTTTGTTACCAAAAAGCCCCAAAAAACTAAAATATAGAAATAGTGAAGCTCTTTTTTTTAAATTTGGTCATTTTATTTGTATATTTCAGCAAAGGATGTATTCAAGCTGCTGGCAACAAAGTATAAGAAGCAGGACTTGTGTGTAGGAGCGAGTTTCTTTGAGATTTATAGCGGGAAGGTAAGTGCAACGCACTACTACGTCACATGTACGTGCAAAGTTATCGACTTTGTGACACTTTGTCGGCAAGCATTGTCTTTAGCATGCCCCTATTGCAATGTTGATTGACTAGAGTTACTTGTTAGTCACTCCAGGTGGAGAGATCTATATATACATGCATGTATTACACTCCTGGTTGAGAAAAAATGATGTGAAACGTTATTAAAATCTTAGTTTTGATGAGTGCGGATATGAATGATTTGTGCATACTCTTCTACGTTCAATGTGTGGTTGCACATTGTGGGTTTTTAGCGTAGTCAGCTTAGTAATGGTAGTAACACTTGCTTTTCCAGGTGTTCGACTTGCTGAAAAAGAAAGCGAAGCTACGAGTGTTGGAAGATGGCAAGCAGGTGGTGCAGGTCGTTGGTTTACAGGTGCGATAACATCTTATGTAGCATCTACACTCTACAGGTAACCTGCAGTGGGTCTCACCTGTGAATGCACCGAAATTCTTATGTGAAGTCTTGTCGAAATGGAGGTGAAATTTTCTATTGACGACATTTCTAAAGTCTGGCAGTGCGATTTATTGTTGTAGTTGTCGATTTAGAGAAATGTTTTTAGACTACGTTTTTTCTTTGGAATTGAAGCAAGTAAGTGAAACTTGGTCTGAAATGTAACTTAAAAAACTAAAACGAAAACCTCAACGAAATAAGTACTACCTAATTTAACTGTTGTTGTTGTTGTTGTTATTTTTGTTGACCTCTGGAGTAATTGTTGTTGTTATTGTTGTTGTTGTTGTTGTTGTTGTTGTTGTTGTTGTTGTTGTTGTTGTCGTCGTTACGTGTGGCTCTAATCGTTGCGACGCGTCTGCAGGAGGTTGCCGTGAATAACGTCGAGGACGTCTTGAAGCTGATTGGTCATGGCAACAACGTGCGCACGTCGGGCCAGACGTCGGCCAATCAGCACTCTTCGCGCTCCCACGCCGTGTTCCAGATCATCTTGAGGAAAACGTACGTGTTTCACTCTCTCTCGCATGTTTCTTTTCAGAGATGGGTTTTTGCCATGTGAGATATCTATTTTTCTGCGCGCCTTCCGCTGCTAATGAAGAACACGAATGTGGTTAATCGCCCGATCAACGAGAATTAAAATTCGATAATTCAACGCGATTAAACGAATGAGGTTAATCGCCTGATTAACGAGAATTTATAAATTTGATAATTTAACGAGATTACACGAATCAGAATAATCGCCTGATTAACGAAAAATAAATCTGATAATGCAATGACATTAAACGAATGAGGTGAACCGCCCGATTAACGAGAAATAAATGTGATTATTCGATGAGATTAAATATATTAAATTGTTTTCAGGAATACGAAGAAGCTGCATGGTAAGTTTTCGTTGATTGACCTCGCGGGTAACGAGCGAGGGGCGGACACGTCGAGTTCCAACCGTCAGACGCGCATGGAGGGTGCCGAGATCAACAAGAGTCTCCTCGCTCTCAAGGTCAGCGCCGAAACCACGCCTCGTTATCGCTAATCACCGATGAATGCTAGTTAACGATGACCTGACGTTTCGTTAACGTTAGTTAACGTTTAGTTTGTTTCGATGAAGGTTCAAAAAGTCGTGAAAATGTTGACGCTTATGGAGAGTACCCCATCAGTGGCAGTTACAGTGAAGCTACCTCCATAGAATGGACACCTGCGTATAAAGGACAGTCTTCGCATTCCCTCAGGCCATCCATGTATACTGCCCCCTATATACGCGGCACCTACTGTAGTAGTTGTAAGGTTGTCTGACGACACTGTGTGTGTGTGTTATGTAGGAGTGTATCCGGGCGTTGGGACGTAACGGCGCGCACCTGCCGTTCCGAGCGAGCAAGCTTACACAGGTGCTACGAGATTCCTTCATCGGTGACAACAGTCGCACGTGCATGGTGAGTGAGGCTGCAGGACGGTCACGCGCGCGCGCGCCGGGCGTCATCGATCACGTTAGGGAGCCGCCGTCGTTAAACTGTTGATGTCGCGTCACTGGAGAATTGATTCATCTGTTTGAACGAGATAACTCTACTACGCCCTTCCTTTCTCTCGGATATTATTGTGTGGTCGATGAAACTAGACCAGTTAGTACGTAGTGAACACTTAAAATGTCGCGTATGCGACGCTTCGTTGACAAGCATTGTCTTTAGAATGTCCTGTCGCAATCCTGACTGGCTAGAGGTGCCTGTCAGTCGTGGCAGGCGGTTATATAGTAGCTGCAGAATCCAGTTTGAGAACGCAGCGCTGGCGTTGTTCATGGCTAAATAAAAGAAGGTTTTGGTTCTGTGGCATAAATAATTGCATGATGAAATTTAGTATTTAATTACATGATTGTGTACGATTGTATTTACTTAATAACGTTGATTTCGCGAATGGTGAGATGATGTTACTTCATCGTTTGTCATTTCTTGTGTCGTGCAGATTGCAATGATCACACCTGGAATGAGTTCTGTGGAGCACACACTCAACACACTGCGATACGCCGACAGGTAAGGCAACCACAGATGGGGTGGGGTCGAAATTATCGCTTCTCCTGTTTACTGGGATGTGCTGACAAGTCAAAGTGAAAGCAACCATGTTGTGTTTCCATTAAAAAGTTGAGGAAAACCTTTGGTTATTACCTATTCACTCTGTATTCTTGCTGTTATGATGAGTAGCCTTGCTGAAGATAATTAGTGTGAGAAAAACGTGTGAACTTGTAGGTATAAACTTAATAATAATGTATAAAGCTAATTAAAATGCTAATGAACAAGTTACATAGGTAACCCTGCTCAGAAAGAAGATTAGAATGTTCGCCTCAGTTCTAGCGCAACGCGCTGGGGTGCCCCAAAGTTTCTAGTTAAACCATTAGGCAACGCTTGCCTTGCCTAAGAAAATGTAAGGGTTCTACTGGTTGCTAGTGCAGTATTAATGTTCTGCGTGTGTGTCTGCGTGCGCTCCACAGAGTGAAGGAGCTCGGACCGGCTGGACCGGCGGACTACAGACCTGCCCCCCGCAACGAAGACATGTTCTCGCCCACCGGCGCCCTCTCTCCGCAGAACAGCGACCTTGCCCTGCTCTGCACGCAAAACGTAGGTCGTTTATCGTCGCCCGTGGCAACGCGCCACGAGTTACCCAAGAATGGTCACAAACATTTTCATCACGACCAAAAGCAAAATACCGTTGAGCTTGACACACTAAGACTATAAACAGATGGAAACTTGTGCACGGCGAAACCGTCTCTATATAACCGACACTGTCTATAAAGGACATTTTGGCCGCTTTCCTTGAGCAGCTGTTATATGCAGGTTATCGTGACGAGCGATGTTGAAAAGTAAGGATAGGTGCTGGAGGTAGTGAGAGAGAGAGAGATATAAGATATACAATAGAGAGAGAGGTAGTGGAGAGGAGAGTATAGATATAATGATGAGAGAGTAGGTATGGAGAGAGAGAGATATATATTACACTAAGAGATAGAGTAGGTGAGAGAGATGAGATAATATAAACATAGAGATAGTAGTAATTGAAGAGAGAAGAAGATATATATACATAGAGATAGAAGTAGTGAGAGAGGAGAGATATATATTACATAGAGAGAGAGAAGTGAGAGAGGAGCAGATAGTAGATATATCATAGAGAGAGAGGTAAGTTGGAGAGAGGAGAGATATATATACACGAGAGAATAGAGGTAGTAGAGAGAGAGATATATATACACAGAGATAGAGGTTAGCGGAGAGAGAGAGATAATATATACATAGAGGAGAGCGTATTGTGAGAGAGAGAGATATATACTATCATAGAGATTAATGAGGTAATGTGAGATAGAGAGATATATAATCATAGAGATAGAGGTAGTGAGAGAGAGGAGATATAATACTTATAGATAGAGGTAGTGAGAGAGAGAGATATATATACATTAGAGATAGAGTATTGAATAGAGAAGAGATATTAGTAATACATAGATGATACGAGTATGAGCAGAGAGAGATATATATACATAGAGATTAGAGGTAGTGCAGAGAGAGATATATTTATACATAGAGATAGTGATGTAGTGACGAGAGGAGGAGATATATATTACATACGAGTATAGAGGTAGTGAAGGAGAGATATATAATACATGAGAGATAGAGGTAGTGCAGAGAGAGATATAATATACAATAAGAGGATAGAGGTAGTGAGAGAGAGATATATATATACATAGAGAGAGAGGTAGTGAGAGAGAGAGATATATATACATAGAGAGAGAGGTAGTGAGAGAGAGAGATATATATACATAGAGAGAGAGGTAGTGAGAGAGAGAGATAATATATATATCAGTAGAGATAGAGGTAGTGAGAGAGAGATATAATATACTAGGAGATATGAGGTAGTGAGAGAGAGAGATATATATATCATAGAGATAGAGAAGTGAAAGATAGAGAATATATATACATAGAGATAGAGTCAGGAGAGAGAGAGAGATATATATACATAGAGATGAGAGCCGTAGTGAGAGAGAGAGATATATATGTACAATAGAGATAGAAGGTATGAGAGAGAGATAATAATATTAAGTAGAGATAGGAGTAGTGAGAGAGAGATATATTATATACATAGAGATACGAGGAGTGAGAGAGAGATATTTATATTATACATAGAGATAGAGTAGTGAGAGAGAGATATATATACATAGAGAGTAGAGGTAGTGAAGAGAGAGAAGTATATAGATATACATAGTAGGATTAGAGTATGTGGAGAGAGAGATATAGTATAGCATAGGAGATAGAGGTATGAGAGCGAGACGATATAATATAATCAGAGAGAGAGGTTATGATGATATATAATATATATACATAGAGAAGAGGTAGTGGAGAGAGAGAGAGTATATATACATAGAGATAGAGGTAGTGAGAGAGAGATATATATATTAGATAGATGATAGAGTATGTGAGGAGAGAGATATATATAATATCAGTAGAGATACGAGGTATATACATAGAGAATAGAGGTAGTGAGAGAGCGAGATATAGTATCATAGAGATATAGGTAGTTGAGAGAGAGATATATAAACATAGAGATAGAGGTATAACATGTAGAGAAATAGAAGTAGTGAAGGAGAGAGATATATATACATAGAGATAGAGGTAGTGAGAGAGAGAGCATACATATACATAAGAGATAAGAGGTTCTCTAGTGAGAGAGAGGGATTAGTATATACATAGAGTATTAGAGGTAGTGAGAGAGAGAGATATAGATTACATAGAGAGAGAGGTAGTGAGAGAGAGAGATATATTACATAGAGAGAGAGGTAGTGAGAGAGAGAGATACTAGATAATACATAGAGATAGAAGGAGTGAGAGAGAGAGATATATGTATAATAAAGATATAGAGTAGTGAGAGAGAGCATATTAATATATACATAAGAGATAGAGGGTAGTGAAGAGAGAGATATTATATACAGAGAGAGAAGAGAGACGAGAGAGAGAGATGAGATGCGAGAGAGAGAGAGGCGAGAGGCGAGAGCGAGAGCGAGAGCGAGGATGAGAGAGAGAGAGACGCGAGAAAGACCAAACCAAGGGAACAGGGAGGGGAGAGGAAAGAAGAGAGAGCGAGAGAGCGAGAGAAATAGAAAAGAACCACAATGTCTGTATGACTCTGTGTAACAGATTAATGATGTAAAGGGATGTGGTTACAGTTTGTACGTCGAGGCATTACTGTGCGTTACGCTGTGCGTTACGCTGTGCGTTAACAATGGTGTATGTGTAACGCCCTGTAACGCCCTGTAATGCCGTGTAACGTCCTGTACATAATGCTTGCTGACACAGGAGGAGGAGGTGAGCGCAGAGCTGTACACGTTCCACGAGGCTGTCTCGCACCTGCAGGAGATGGAGGAGGAGGTCGTCGACGAACACAAGAACCTCATCGCTGTAAGTCCTCCCTTCCTTCCTCCCTTCCTTTTTTCTTCTTTCTTTCTTCTTTCTTTCTTCTTTCTTTTCTTCTTTCTTCCTTCCCTTCCTTCTTTCTTATTTCTATTCTTTCTTTCTTTCTTTTCTTCTTTTTTTCTTTCTTCTTTCTTTTTTCCTTTCTTCCTTCCTTCCCTTCCTTCTTTTCTTCTTTCTTTCTTCCCTTCCTTCTTTTCTTCTTTCTTTCTTCTTTCTTTCTTCTTTCTTTTCTTCTTTCTTCCTCCCTTCCTTCTTTCTTTCTTCTTTCCTTTCTTCCTTCCCTCGCCTTTTGTTTCTTCTTTCTTTCTAGGAACCTTATTCCTGTAGGTTCAATACTGAATAAGCGAGTGATTAAGGGTCTCGTTAGTAGCTATCGTGCGTGACTTATTGCTGACATCCCGACACTGGCTCGTCGAATTCTCAATCAAAATAGCTAACACTTCATGTCTCGCTGAGCGTGTAATTAAGCTTAGTTAATTAAGTCGTTAATCGTTAGCGTGTGTGTGGATTATTGCAGGCGTCGCGACACTGGCTGGAGGACGATGAACAGCTGATGTCGATCACGGATGAGGTGGATTACGACGTGGAGGCTTACGCTCAGCAGCTTGAGGAACTCTGTCAGCAGAAGATCAACTCACTGGAGAAATTCAAAGGTGCATAGTGCCGCCATCTAGTGGCGACTGTAGCAACTGCCTTTAAACATTTCGGGTGTCGACGGCTGGCAATAACGTTTTATTGGTGGATTCTTTGAAGGTTTTGATGGTTTTTTAGTAGCATGCTTGGTTTACCCTTAAAACCAAGTTAATTTACTTGTTCTTTTTAGTTTGTTGTGCAAGATTCTCAGTTGTCATTTTATTTTGTACGATGAACACATGAAGTGGTGATACATTTAGGAGGTTGTAGTTAGATGGGGGCCATTACAGAAACCTCATGAATACTTATGACATGTAAAAAAGAGTGAAATGTCACATACAAAAGTTATGACATTTTAGCCTTACAACAGTCTAACGTTTTATAGCAAATGGATTTCTGGCAATTGGGTTCCTAATTTCCATTAATTATTATATTAGTCTAGTTTAATTAACACTAGTCTTAGTTAATACAAATCCATCATTAATTAAATTAGCGTTGTGATCGATCGATTGATTACGTCAGATCGTGTGAGCGTTGTGATTGGTTGTTTCCGCAGCGCGCGTGAGCAACTTCCGACAGCAGCTCGCGGACGAAGAAGCCATGAGCAAGAACATCGTCAAACGACCGCCGAACAAGTAACCGCCCGCCGCCGCCGCTGCGACCCTCCCCCCCGCGCGCGCACGGGACGACCTCGACGACGGAAGCCTAGCGACGAGGGGAAATACATGTCCGCTCGTACGCTAGATTAGATTCGGCCGCGCGTGCGCGACTTAAACGACAGCGTTGAATGTGTTTCAACATTGTCGGGTGGTCACGGAGTACATATGCCTAACTCAACCTACTGATTGTCACTAGGGGGCGCCGATAGACCGAGTGATTGTCACTAGGGGGTGCTGATGGTCCCTAGGGGGAGTGATTGTCACTGGGGGCGGGGCGTCAGCGCGCTTTCATTCGGTGATAAGTTTCCGTGAGCTGAGTCGGTCACGGCTGGCTGACTGCAGGGATGTATCGTTGCGCGCCACTCGGTAACGCGACGCCTCGCTTCGTGTCTCTCTCGCCAGGCGCCGCGTCCGAGATATACACGCCGCATATCTCGAATTCCGCGTTCGAGAGAGAGAGACGAGATCGTTTCCTCGTCGCCTGCGGCGTTACGACTCTACTTACAGCAAAATGATCGTCGCGTGGCGTGACCATGCGACGACGCGCGGGGGGGGGGGTAAGGGGAAATGCAAACCCGTGATTCCACTTGCGCGCAATAATCGGTAGCGGCTTTGCGTGTGCGAGCGCTTTCGCGAGCTCGTTCGTTCGTTTGCGAGGTTGCCGTGGTTAGCCACCGGCTAGCATTGTAGCTAGACGGTTAGGGTTAGGGTTAGGGGGTAGCTTTAGCGAGTGTAGTGACAGCTTGACGTGGCGCGGCCAGAATGCTGCAGTATTGTTGCTTCTCACCGAACTACGATCCCCCGTCGCGCGTTATACCCCAGCAAACGAAAGCCTTAACAATCTGTGAGAAATCTCTAGTAGCCTTCATGGCGTCTCGTCGTACCGGTAGCACTATTCTGAGACCGTGTAGGTTGTACACACGTACACACAAACGCGCACGCACACCTAACAACACGCATGCACACCCAACCACGCACGCACACCCAACAACACACGCATGCACACCCAACCACGCACGCATGCACACTCGACCATTAACGCATGCACACCCAACCACGCACACAAGCACACGCCTGCAGTCGGGGGTAAGCTATCATCAGGGGGTTAACAATGGTCGATACATAGACCTATTATTTACTCCTAGTAACGTGCTGTTCTTGTCCTTTACTTCATGATATGATGTGTACGTGTGTGTGCCCTCCTTCGAAACTTTGCTGGCACAACTTCAATCTGCTAGCTCAGTGAGACGGGGAGAGGGATAGGCCGGCCCCTTCACATTCCCCACCGAGGCATGGCAAGTGTATATATATATATATATATATATATATGTTGCTGTGACAGCATCAGTGCTTGTTAGCTTTCTCTGCTACAGATTCATTGCTTTGGCCAGTATCGCGACGATGAGGCGGTCGTATTCAGTTCCCTGAGTTTGTAGGTGGACTGTGATGTAGTGCATGCTGTTGCTGCTGCTGCTGCTGCTGCTGTTGCTGCTGCTGCTGCTACTGCTGCTACTACTGCTGCTGCTGCTGCTGCTGCTGCTGCTACTACTGCTGCTACTGGTGCTGCTGCTGCTGCTGTTGCTGCTACTGCCAATGCGTGGATGAAATATAACGTATACACATTATTTATATCCCTCTCTCTCTCTTTCTCTCTCTGCTTGTTCCTCCTATTCTCTGTCTCCTCGCTCTCTTTTTGTTCTTTCTCACTGCTCACCCACTCTTTCTCTATCTTCCCTGGGTCTCTTTGTAGTGTACTGCAGACGGTCGCTATATATTTTGTAATGTTGTATAGAAATGTGGCTGTGGACCAACTGGTTAATAACTTAATGAAGAATTAGTTGACCCTGCTTTAATTTTAACTACAGTCTTTATATTACGGTTATAGTCTGTATTTGTAAAGCCAGCGCACATATAATAGCAGGTTGTTGCTGCTGCTGCTGCTGTGCGTGCGATGTGTCGTGTACAATGGTGAAATGGTATCAATTGCACGATTTAGTGAACTGATGATTTTTTTTGCATGGGTGAAGTGCTCTTATGGTGCGTGTTTTGATGCTTTAGTGTGTGCATATGAAGTAAGTGATATTGTTATTAATACTTCAATAACATTTCTGCATCGGCATATTCGACTTTCCATAGCTTACAAGAATGTGCGTCGCTCTCTCTATGTGTGTAGATTGCTGAACGTCGGGTGAACTCTGCGGCATAATAAGTAATGCATTGCATTGCCTGCCAAACCGGCTTTAATTGATTTCTAGCAACAATCCAGTATTGTCTTGACGTTGCTTGCCATTAAACGGTGACAGTTTATTCAGCATATGTGGTTGTAATGTACAGGCTATACATACATCGTGAGGTTGTAGCATCTCTTGACCGGTGAAGCTGACCAGCTTCTGTTGTAAATATTCATCTTTGGTAGTCGGTGATTGTGGCATCCTAATACATTACCCTGAGACAATATCGCCCAAGCTATTCAGGTCGTTTCCTTAACGCTATACAATTCCGTTGTTTGTACAATTGCAACTTTTTCAGTGTAACCGTTTACATTTGTGCCTGTTGCAGTATATGCTACTTGTGACCAACGTGTTTTCAAACGTGTATATTTACTATGAGCACCCGGCAAATGCTATATGCATATATACGTGGCTGTGAGGGAGGTATTTACAATTACATATTCATGCAACTCTGCGAGGAGGGTTTCCTCCGTGCTTTTTTGCGATTTCATTGTTGCTGGCATGTAAACTGGAGCCTGCCTAAATGTACGACCTTTTCAACCTATTTTTGTGCTTCTCTTAAAGTTTTGCAGTTGCATTGCATTTGCTTTACGGAGAAAATATATTTGATAACCTACACGATGCTTTTTAGCGTTATTTTCCGTTGACTTTTGTGGCACATTATTAGTAATAGGTAACACATTTTTATACAAGGTCCGTAATACATTTTCTCATTATATAGCTGCTATTTCCACAACAGAAATTTACGATCTGAATTGTGTAAGGAATTAGTGCCATGGCCTGCATCAGTGCATGGGCATGGCATTGGCATAGTGCAGTGGGTATATTTCATTATTTGCTGTCACGACACTAGTACTTTTACGATTAACACATTTTCGGCCATGAAAATATTTAATATCAATTTAAATGAAATTATGTACACGTGTGCGTGTGTGATAGAGTGTATACGCATTTTCATACATATTCCATGTACGTTTCTCATTTCCTACTGATGTTATTTGTTAAACAAATGTTAGTGACACCTACCGGTTAAAAACGTATTTCTGTCACCATAAGGCCCATTACTGCATTAGTGTATGTAAGATTAATTATCCCAATATGTAAAAAATGTGATAATCTGTTAACGCCAAATTAACACGCACTGAATCGCTGACTGTAGAGCAGAAATTCTATTTCTAAACTATTTTATGATCAAAACGATGACGATGATGGCCGTGACAATAGAGCATACTACGCAATCCATAAACAACATGGCGGATGGTAAGTGGCGGTTGTCTTTGTTGTTTAAAATATCACTTCTTAATGTTGAGCGTATTCAAATGACGATTCCTTCCTGTAATAATTACCACGTAACCCGTTGTCTTTAAAATACCATCTGGTATCAGTCTTTAATTAAAGTAAAGCGTATAATTGGAAATCACCGGTACACACAGTGACACACGAGTCACGACACAGAGTCGCTACTGTAGTCTGTTGTCGGCACCATGAACGCCAATAACAACGCACGTCTTCTAACATTTAAACATTTTGTCGGCTTCAAACTGTGAAAACTGAATAGTCATGGCAATATTTCAATATTAAATGCATTTCTCTTGGTATCTAGTAGTAGTATCAGTATTATTGACATTGTTTCTGAGGCTAGCGCATTGTTAGTGGGAAGTGTACTCTTACTTTTAGTAAGGATAAAATGAGATGGTTCAGTACTATAGCAGAGTTGGCTTTGAAGCACAAGTAATATAAATCATTAAATGAGAGGTTTACAACATTTTTCAGTCACTAACCATTCCCAATAACATTATTCACAGACTCCTCCAAAAAGATACGATATAAGCCATATCGGAAAGTCCCCGCCGCCATGTTGAGATCAGATAAGGGGGGGGGGGGTGATAAGTTGCCTATATATAACATCGTTACGATAGTACTAGTCTAGGTTTTTTAGCTCATCTGACGATGTCAGATGCAGCTTGTAGAATCGCAAGATTGTCTGTGCGTGCGTCCGTCCGTCTGTCAACAGTTGGGCAAAAATCTTAACCGCTCGACGTACGGTGACGATATTTGGGACGTGGGGGGGATCGTGAAAAGGACCAATTTGTGGGTCAAGGGTCAAAGGTCAAGATGTGTCAACAGAGGGGGAATATTTCCCCCTTAACTTAAGGTATAGGAGGAAATGCGGAATTGCGGCACAAATCTGAACGGCTCGACCTATGCTCTTTATTATTCGGTGTATAGTGTGATGGGCAGGAAACCCATTCACCAGTGTGAAATTGGAGGTCACAGGTCAAAGGACAGTGGGGGAAAGGTCAGATATCAGACATTTTCTGAGGACATGGCCCAGTGAAAAAATTAATTTTTTTCTTTCCGGGGCTCTTTTTGCAAACCCCCCCAAAATTTCGGGGGCTACTTTTTCATTTTCCAGGGCTCTTTTTCCACTTTCCAGGGCGACTTTTTTCCAGGGCTGTTTCCTCAAATGTACACACAAGCACAGTAGCTAATACACACGCTAATACACACTCGCGGGGGCGT